GGCGTCTAGGAGGATGGATTGACGGTTGCACAAACGGAGAGGGAGCGGGACTTTTTTCTGATTTTCGCTCTTGGAAAATGTTGGGATTTTAAAGAAGGGGGGCCTTTATTTGTGGATCACTTCTGGGGGTTGGCTACCCCCGCGCCTTGGGGCAGGACAGAAATCCGGGAATAAGATGCCGGGGGGGGGGGGGGGCGCCGTGCCGCGTCGCAAGGATCTTGCGCGGATCCACCTGCTCGTGCCCGGGTGTCCCGCTCTGTCCCGTTTAATTCTTTCTCTTGTTTTCCCTTGTTGGGGGGTTTTGCTGCTCCCCCAGAGTAACTGCATCAAGACGTCCAAGTATAACGTGCTCACTTTCCTGCCCATCAACCTTTTTGAGCAGTTCCAGGAGGTCGCAAACACTTACTTCCTCTTCCTCCTCATTCTCCAGGTGAGATTTCTGCCTGGGTGGGGAACAACGGGGATGCCCCCTTCTCCCATTGGGGGCTCCTCTAAGCTTCTCCCTCTGGCACAAGTGTGACGGGTGCATCACTAAACCTCAGTTTGGCCTAGTTAACTGCCCCCCCCCAAAAAACCTTGGCAGTGCCCTGCTTTCATTTACTGGTATTCTTTTTCTCGCTTTCTGTCCCCAATTCATTTTTCCTCCTGTTTTTTCCTGCTGCTTTTCTCTCTCTCAAGTTTTTGCTCGGATGTTCTCTCTTTCCTTCCTTTTTCTCATATTTTTCTTTCCTTCCTCCCTTCCCCCTCCCTCCTGTCTATCTTTTCCTTCCTTCCTCCCTTTCTCTCTTCCTCTCTTTTCCTTCCTTCCTTCCTTCCTTCCTTCCTTCCTTCCTTCCCAACTTTCTCTTCCTTTTTCCCCCTCCCTCCTTCCCTTCTCCTTGCCCCCTCCCACTCTGCCTGGTGCTGTTCTCTTCCTTTCCCCACCACGAGTCCAGCTCCTCTAATCGAACTCTCACATCCTCGCCGGTACCTTATCCCCACCGCCCCTGAGCCCTACTCTCAAGGGACCCCTGGGCCGTGGGTCCCAGTCAATAAACATGCCCCCTCTTGACTTTCCCTCCTCCCCAGCTGATTCCACAGATATCCTCGCTGTCTTGGTTCACCACAATAGTGCCTTTGGTCCTGGTGCTGACCATCACGGCCGTCAAAGATGCCACGGACGACTACGTGAGTGTCGGGAAGGACCCAGGAGCGAAAGGGCTGTGCGGGCTTGGGAATTGCCCTTGTGATCGCGAGCGTGCATGCCTTTACGGACACGGGGAGAGAGGAGGCCCTTAGTAGTTCACGCTAGGCAGATAACCTGGGGGATCCGTGAGCCACGCTGGACGCTCCCAAGCATCTTCCGAGCCCTGTTAGAAACTGGAGCGAAGGTGCTTGCAAACAGGAAAAATGGCTCCCTGCCTTTTGTAGGATGCTCCTTCCTACCCCACAGGGGTGGAGTCCTGCCCTGGGTAGCGGGTTGGATTAGATGATCTCTAAGCCCCTTCCCCTTTTTGCCTGAGCTGATGGGCGCGTTTTGCACTTTGCGCTGCGGCCCTCTTTTATCTTGATTTCCAAAGGAATACAAAATGTTTGGGGCCCGTGTGAGGCTCCCCTTGGGGTAGGATCTGGTGCAGAGCATGCAAAACCTTCACCGCAAAATTGGAGTTTCCTTTCCGTTTCCAGCGGGGGGGAGTCGGAGCCCAGGAAACAAACAGATTCCCATTGTTCCGTTTAACCGCGGTCTGAATCCGGATTAGGAACCCCTTGGTTGCATTCACGGAAGCGCCAAGCCTTGCTCGGTTTCCACCCCCCAGGGGCAGCTTTTTGTAGAGGGTGTGAACTCACCCTGAAACCTGGGCTTGGGTTCGAATTCTCGCTTTGACCCGCTACTCTCTGCTCACAGTTTCGCCACAAAAGCGACAATCAGGTGAACAGCCGGCATTCCCAAGTGCTGATCAACGGGATGTGAGTATGGAGCTGATGATTGGGGGGGAGGGAGGTGTTTTGGGGGGCAGGGAGAATATGGGGCAGGCGTCGCCATTTGTAAGAGGACCTCTGTAACGCCAACGACGGCTCCCATTTTAACGGGGATTGCCAGCCGTGCCTGAGCATTTGGAAACGTTGGCTGCTGAATTTTATTTTTCTGCCCATCATCTTCCCTAGACCACGACCTCTACCCTAGGGCCGGGAGGAAGTATGTTGGGGGCAGAGAGATGCGCCCCGCTTACCCAGACTCCCCCATTGTAACCTCACATTGATGGAGGGTGTTTCTGGGTTCCCGCGTTGCTGCAAATCCTTGCAACGAGCCTGCGAGGTGGGCTCTTTGGCCCAGGAGCCGGGTTGCCAGGACCGCGGGGCTGCAGCCGTCTCCCCTTCTCCTGCAAGACCCTCCGAGGGCCCCACCTTCCCCTGATCGTAGTCTAGTCACAAACCATTGGAAAGATTCAAAAGTTCCCGGGCTATCTCCACAAAATGCTAGGTTTCCCATTCTCTGGCCCAGCCTCCTGTCTCCGTAAAGCAGTTTCTCATTGATCGTTGGCCTTTGGAGGTAGACTGCGTTTAAGCATGGAGGTTCTGCTTTCGCAGCCGCGAGCCGGGATCCCTGGCGCGGAGGAGATTTGAAACCCAAGGTTGAGAACGAGGCTGGTTTTATCCCCTCGGTGTTTCATTCCTTCCCACGTTGCCTCTTCTTCCTTCTCTCTCCCAGCCTCCAGCAGGAGAAATGGATGAACGTTCGCGTCGGTGATATCATCAAGCTGGAGAACAACCAGTTCGTAGCGGTGAGTCCGTGCGTCGTGGACCGCGGATTGGGGACGGGGGCTACGAGACGCCGGAGGGGGAAGAAGAGAGACGGAGAGGCTTTCGTTTAAACTCATTTTGAAACCACCCCCCTTTGCTCTGCTCCCTTTTTTCTTTTAACTCCGACACCTCCATATGCTTCAACTCTGAAAATGTGCTTTTTCGGGGCTGGTAGCTTTGGCCCCGAGCTGGCTGTGAAGTCACCAGGACCCATAAGAGACTTTAAACTGACTCTCTTTCGAAGACATGGCCTGGGTGTGTTTGCAGGAGAGAAGCCACACCCAGAAGCAGCAGCCAAATTGTCATTTTTAACATCACGAGGGGACAATCGTGGCAGGTCCGGCCTTCCTCTGTTTGATTAAAGGTCTATCTCATTTGGAGCTGGGTCGTCCAGCTCTTGACCGCCACCATGACCCCAAGACGTGGCGACTGGGTCAAAGTCTCAGCCCTCTATCTTAACCCTGGTGTCCTTTTCCAGATATTTTCTGAGCAATAAACCAGCCAAGGAAAATGATGATCAGCAGTGGATTCCTGCTGCAGCCATGTCCCCAGGAACCCAACATTTATGACCCTGGCCAGGGGCTGCTTTTAAAAATCCTTCTCTTCTTCCACCAGTGATGGGTTTTTTTCCATCGAGCGCACGGGGGAATCTGTCCTCGTTTTCCCCTTCTTATCTCGTACCGCTGCCTTGCTATCTCGTATCGCCGAATGTCTTTAGGTCGCTCTTAACCTCCCGCCGGTGGTTTTTTATTTATTTATTTATTTATATTTATTTATTTATTTATTTATTTATTTTCCAAGCATATATGCTATTTACGGTTAAAATTATACGTAGAGGAATAGATACGTTCCTCTGACTCCTGAAAAGATGGGAATTTGAGATGGAAGGTTTTCTTCTCGGCTTAGAGATCTTCGCTCGAACCTCTAGTTGACGCCGATAGATTCCGAAATCCAGATTGAACGGGCACGATAGAGTTAGAGCGCTCGAATGAATGACAATCATCAGTTTAGTTTTAAGATTGGGGTCTTAGTGGAAATAAACACTTGGTTTTCTTCTGTTATCTTACAACTCAAGTTCAAGCCCAGGGTTTCTGGTTGTGAGTGCTCGGTTCGGATTAATCCGAACCGAGCACTCAC